ATCCAGTTTGAATGTTATTTTTAATGGGATGACCAAAATATACTTTGTGGTAAACAAACACTTATTTAAAATTTAAAAAATACATCAAATCACAATTATAACCAGTACGGCAGCAGAGGAGCACTTATTGGCTTATTAATCATTAATTTCTACTTTTTCTCCATATTTTGAAATTATAAAATCACTATTATAAAATATCAAATCATCAAGAAATCAGATTTTGTCAGAATTTTACACTTTGTGTATGAAGTAAGAAAAGTCACAAAGTGCCTTGAAAAACAAACTTTTCTTCAATTTGCTACTAAATCACACATAATCACTGAAGTTGTTCAGTTCCATATACTAGAAGAATAATGGTACATTTAATAAGAGTGGAATATATACATTTTCTATATAAAAATTAGATTTTGCACCTATTACTGTTGTTAATAAAAGTACATTTTTTTATGCATCTTAACTCTTTACTGTGCTTTACTGTCAAATCTGTATAAACAATAAAAATTAGAAAAACAAACAAGAAATTAACATGTAATATTATTAGTAACTGCACTTATTAATGCAAAACAACAGTCATTTTATTATTAAATTATCTATATTTTAATACTCCCTCACACCACCCCCAGCGCTACCAAATCTGCTCCTGGTGCCACCATCTGTAGAACTTAGTGGTGCTGGTGCCAATGCTCTCAAATGTTAGTCTGGAGCCCTGTTGAATTATAAAGTAGTTTTTGTTGTTCTTCTCTCCCGCACAGACTCAAACCCAGACAATCACTTTTTCTTGACTTTGCATTTACTGTATGCACTGACAAAACCCCAAGACTGACAGCTAACCCAAACTCTATAGTGATACCCATGTAAAAAGACAAACAACTTGACAAAACTTGAATGACAAAAAGGATCACTGACCCCAGCAACCTCTACCTATAGGAACTTCAAACCAATAAAGGCCTACAAGACCATCAGAACCTGCTCATGTCCTTTTGGAATGACTCTTCTCTTTCACTAAAAGTGAAACAAACATTGTATATTTCTTTTTGAACTTCAGTTACATCCAATAAATTAAATAAAATTATAATGTGGACCTCAGAACCAGTAGACAACAACAACAACAACAAAAATACACCAGTATCTCTATACACAACACAGTCTACATAATTGTTTATGTAACCATGCAACCTATAGGGCCTACTGTACTGATATTCTGTTTATCCTGCTCTATAAAATGTGAATTACATCACATGTAGAAAAAATTACTTTAATATGAAGGAGATCTATTTGTACTAAATGGAATAGAAAATGCTCTAGACACCTTGCTACTTATCAAAATATATATTTGCATATATTTGAATAAAACTGAGTATGGCGCAAACTTAAGTTTGCTGTAACAGAAAGCATAGATAAAAACCTACATTGTACTAACTCTGATCGCAAATCAGGAGGGGGAAAAAAAATCACTAAGCACACTTTATTGATGAATTCACTTCTTTGAACTACAGACAGAGAGATTAGCTTGTAACATACTTGTGACAGACTAGCCTGTTTACGTTTGTAGAGTAATGACTGCTTCATCTTAACGGGTGAATCAACAGTTATATTTAACTTAAATTGTTATTTTTCACACACACTGATTCATATTCACAACATAAACAACTGATAGTTTATTCTAGTTTAAATTTAGCCCATTAATCTTGAAATGTGTGACAGTTGAATTGTTAGCAACTGCTAACACTGTAGACTTTTGTTTACTTAACTTGGCCCAGACTTACTCTTAGGCCGTGTCTCAAAAACCTAGGTAGTAGGTGTCTATCTAGACAGCATTTTGGCCATCATATTACGTCCAAAAATGCTGCCAAGTAAGCAACCAACACAGTCCCACAATTCCGTGACCTGACGCAAGACTGGTTAGCACGCAAGACTTGTCACAAACAGATGTATCAGATTGCAAAGGAAATCAAACGAAAGTCGAACGCTGTTAAGTTAGCATGCGCTACAAACTGTGGATAAAAGATGCACATTAATGTTCAATCGGCGAGTCAAAATGTGGTAGAGCCCGCAGTGAGAATTCAAAGCCCAACAGTGTAAATAAAGTTTGACACAAACAACCGGCTGAAGACATTTGAACAAGACTTTTCTCACCTCATAGACAGTGGCCTCGGTGGGGTTGGCAAATCCAGCGCTAAATAAAAACAAGCCCATTTTAAACAGGCGGGTAGAATGTCTCAGTGTTGACTTTGGTCACAGCGCACAAGAGTTGTAAATACATGTATTGTTCGTTAATCGTACAAACGCGTAAAAGGCTCTCGCTCATGCGCCGCCCGTCTTCTGCTGTTATTGGGACATGAGGGGGGGGGGGGGGGGGCACATCAGTGGAGCAGCAGCATGAGCTCCGTGCCACTGGTAGCCCCCAACTATTACACAAGCGAGTCCCTGCGATCTGCAGTTCAGGCTCAGCTGGGTGTGGCGCAGTCACATCACGCCATGTGCGCAACGTGATGATGGGAGTATGGGACAAATTGTGCTTCGATCCGCCCACGAGCAGTAGTGGGGATTTGAATCATCTCAGTGACTCGACTCATTTGAATCAGTTTACGAAAAAGAATCACTCACTGAGAAGTTCATTGACCCTTTCTATAGATTACATCGCAACGCCAATAGGGGGCGACAGGGTGTTTGTTTGTTTATTTATTTATTTTTATTTGTGACCATGGACCACAAAACCAGTGAAAACTAGATTTATACATCACCAGAAAGCTGAATAAATAATCTTTCCATTGATGTATGGTTTGTTAGGATAGGACAGTGGTTCTCAAACCTGTCCTGGAGTACCCCCAGCCCTGCACATTTTGTATGTCTCCCTCATCTATCACACCTGATTCAACTCATCAGCTCATTCATTAGTGGAGACCGCAAGACCTGAAGTGGGTGTGTCAGATACAGGGATACATACAAAACGAGCAGTGCTGGGGGTACTTTCTGGAGAGGTTTGAGAACCACTGGGATAGGACAATATTTGGCCAAGATTAGTGTTGCTTTCGTCAACGAAAATTATGACGAAATATAGTCGTCGACGAACCTTTATCACGTGACGAAAACGAGACGAGACGAAAATGCTGGTCACGTGACGATGACGATAATTAAATATACAATGCAATATCGTTGACGAATGATCTGCTAACCGTTATGCTCATGTGTCCTCTGATAATAATAGCTTTCTAAGATTAAACATTTGGATAATTGGTAAAATTTTTTATAAATCTCTTAATAGCCCTACAAAAATACACTGAGTGAGCAAAACTTTGTTTAATTACCATTATAACTATCTCACAATGTTTACATATGAATAAAAGCCTACATTAAAATCTGTCATATAAATTGGTCTCTTCATTAGAAATTAGCCTACTGATTTTTTATAATATTAAAAATATCTGTATGACATTATATTCTGCAGTTCTTCCCTGTTGTACCAAATATCTATACTTTTCAAATTATCATATTGAAGTTAGAAATTTAAATATTGTAACCAAATTAATTTTGTAGGGTGCCACAAATTTGTAAAAATTTCCAAAGGGTGCCGTGACTAAAGAAAGTTTGGGAAACACTGATTTAGAAGACGAAAACCAAACAACGTTAAGTCTGACACAGAGAAAGGGACCGATGGCCGGCAGCCGGGGGTCGGCTTTATTTAAATTTATGTGTATGTACTTCTAACATGTTTGGTTGGTAAAATAAATGTTGTAAATTCAAATCAGAGCATCTTCCGTGTCTCTATAAGGTAACAATAATATAATAAGATAACCTTGTTTGAAATGGGTTTGGCTAAAAGAAAATTTTGGTTTCGTCTATACTACTAGGTACTTATACTATATTGACAGGGTTAAATAGAATTGCATTTCTAAAAAGAGACTACAATACAATTTTCATTGACTAAAACTAGACTAAATGTCATCAGTTTTCATTGACTAAAACTAGACTAAAATGCTCAGACTTTTAGTTGACTAAAACTTGACTAGACTAAAAAGAGTATGAACGTGACTAAAACTAATACAAACTAAAATGACAGTTTCACACAAAGACTAGACTTAAACTCAAATTAAAACAGGCCGCCAAAAACAACACTAGCCAAGACACAACTATTTGAATATCTGAATCTGAGGGTGCAAAAAAAAATCTAAATATTGAGAAAATTGCCTTTAAAGTTGTCCAATTGAAGTCCTTAGCAATGCATATTACTAATCAAAAATTAAGTTTTGGTATATTTACGGTAGGAAATTTACAAAATATCTTCATGGAACATAATCTTTCCTTAATATCCTAATGATTTTTGACATAAAAGAAAAAATTATAATTTTGACACATACAATGTATTGTCGGCTATTGCTACAAATATACCTGTGCGACTTAATTCTGGTTTTGTGGTCCAGGGTCACATTTGCAAGAGTTGAAGTACTTCAACAATAACATGACAGAAAATTAGAGCAAGGCCTAGGCCCTAGGGTATACAGAACATCTTTTAGTGCGTTTAAAAATAAAATGCTGGACAGAAAGGTTTTTGTTTTCAGTTTGTTTAAAAATGCTGGATGTTTTTCAAACTATTTTATGGGAGGATATTTACTGGTTGGGTGAAGCGGTCATAGCTGTGCTTCATCGTGAATAAAACACAGCTGTTGACCAATCAGAAGCGAGGACTGGAACTAACCGTTTTATAAGGTAATAAGAGATTTTTTGCACTTAAATCATAAAACCATGCATATTTATTGAGTCTTGTGTCTACATTAATGAGTCTACACCAGTGAGTATTTTAACAATAATGGATTGGCAATATTAACTTCTATTGTAAGTGCCTGGTTGTAACCACTGATCTACATATACAGTGGTGTGAACACACCTTCCAAAAAGTTCAACTTTTGTTGCATCAGTCCACAGAATATTTGCCCAACAGTCTTGGGGATAATCAAGATGCCACAGCCATATCACCCTGCAGCCCAAGACTGGTTGCCCACTGAAGCTAAGGAGGGCTGAACCTGGCCAGTACCTGGATGAGAGACTCCTGGGAAAACTTGGTTGCTGATGGAAGGTGTTAGTAAGGCCAGCAGGGGGTGCTCACTCTGTGGTCTGTGCGGGTCCTAATGCCCCAGTGTAGTGATGGGGACACTAAACTGTAAAAAGCACCATCCTTCGGATGAGACGTTAAACCAAGGTCCTGACTCTCTGTGGTCATTAAAACGGACTCTCTCTCCTCATCACCTGTAGCTGGTGTGTGGTGAGCGCACTGGCGCTGTTGTCCTGTGGCTGTCGTCGCATCATCCAAGTGGATGCTGCACACTGGTGGTGGTTGAGGAGAGACCCCCGACCCCCCCATATGATTGTAAAGTGCTTTGGGTGTATAGAAATACACAATAAAGCACTATATAAATGCCTCATTCATTCAAAATATTTTTTGGCAAATGTGAGACTTTATGTTCATTTTGGTCAGCAGTGGCTTTTGCCTCGGAACTCTCCCATGGATGCCGTTTTTGCCCAGTCTCTTTCTTATTGTTGAATCATAAACACTGACCTTAATTGAGGCAAGTGAGGCCTGCAGTTCTTTAGATGTTGTTCTGGGTTCTTTTATCACCTCCTGGATGAGTCATCGTTGCGCTCTTGGAGTAATTTTGGTAGGCCGGCCGCTCCTGGGAAGGTTCACCACTGTTCCAAGTTTTCTCCATTTCTGGATAATGGCTCTGACCATTGTTCGCTGGAGTCCCAAAGCCTTAGAAATGGCTTTATAACCCTTTCCAGACTGATACATGTCAACTATTTTGTTTCTCATCTGTTCTTGAATTTCTTTAGATCACGGCATGATGTGCTGCAATTTAAGCATGCTTCACTTCATCAGACAGATTCTATTTAAGTGATTTCTTGATTCAACAGGTCTGGCAGTAATCAGGCCTGGGTGTGGCTAGTGAAATTTAACTCCGCTTTCTAAAATAATGTGGTTAATCACAGTTCTTTCATGATTTAACAGGAGGGGGGGGGGCAATTCATTTTTCACATAGGGCCAGGTAGGTTTGGACAGCATTTTTCCCCTAATAAATGAAATCATCATTTAAAAACTGCATTTTGTATTTACTTGCATTATCTTTGTGTAATATTAAAATTAGTTTGATGATCTGAATCTTTTAAGTGTGACAAATATGCAAAAAAAAAAAAAACAGGAAGGGTGCAAAATCTTTTTCTATGAGATACATTTTCTATGTGTTTGTGTGTGTCAGAATGCTGGAGTCTCTCTAAAGGAGACTATGAGATACCTGGAGTCTGTCTTGAGGAGATCGAGGCCATGCTTAGGGGGGAGATACAGGACCAGGAGATCGGGATCTATTTTTCGACCTCATGGATGCCGAGATCAAATTCTACCAGTGAGACAGAGCAGGTAAACAGAAAAATGTCAGCGTATCGCTCACATATCTGACCTGTGACTTCCACTGTCTGATATTGCCTGTAACTTGTGGCTGTTTTGCAGTTGTCGTTGTGAATGTCAGTAGTGCTTGCTGATCTGCCTGGAGAGAGAGAGTCCAGAGCGCACAGATTCTTACCTGCTCAAATCCTGCTCTCCTAGTTCCCTTGATGCCATGCCAAACTAATTGTGATGTCCATGCCACGCTAACTGTAACTTAAAAAAAAACAACACTAGATGTTCATGTGAGTGGATCACCCTTATAACTTGTATATTACAAATATACAAGTTGCCTGCTTAGTGTTTAATGCAGTGTACCTTTGTACAGATATCATTATGCTAGTTGTATTCAAGTTCCTACATACTAAAACTCATTAGCCATCCTACATCACTGTGCTTTTATAAAAGAAAACTATAACGACCAACAATTCGTTGCAGAATCATTCAACGGCACCAAACAAAACAATCATCATATCAAGATAATCGCAAGCTGAATTGAATAGTGATAAAGCTTCTGAAAGACACCCGCTGGTCAAAACGGCGTGCAACGTAAACACAGACAAAGCGTGGGTTAACCACTGACCCATAAACTATTCTCTATTATAGATCAGTGGTTAAAACAACTTTTATAAAGCAAAAGTTTTTCTATAAAGTGTAACCTATTGAATGAAATATACAAATAATTAAATACTACTAAATATGAAGAGTCTTGTGCTTGTTAATTGTGTCCTCTCACCCAGCGGCAGGTAAATAGGCCAATTATATATAACAATTAACTAGCATCTATCTGTTAACTCAAAAGTGAAACTAAATGATAAAACTAACCCTAGATCAGTCACAACTATTATAAGCCACTACTACTTGTCTTGACTATATTTGGATATGACAAGGCATCGACCAATCATTTTATCACATTGTCCAACCATAGGTTAAGTCGCTTTATGTCTGCACACTACTTCATTTGTGTTTCTGCAGACTTTGGAAGGGTTCAGTGTCGGGGAGGAATGGATGGTGTAT